TTATCCACCCATCGCAACAAGTCTCGTGGATAGGTTTGATTAAGTTTCTCATAGCTTTGATGTTTACAAAGGCTGCAATTCGATTTTGTTGTTTCTAACACAGACTAGAGCTCAAACTGTGAGAGAGTTTACTGGGAGTTTGTTGGCTGTCGAAGGCAGGCCTAAACTGGTCTTGATACTAAGTAGAATTTTTCAGGTCGACTGGCCGAGGGCCCACCCCCAACAACACCGATATTGTCCCCTCTTTACCACATGCACAATCCTCAGGTGTGGGGTTTTATCACAAAATGTCTCAATGTTAGTTAGAGTGAGGTAATTCCATATAAATGGGTTCTCTTCTTCCCTCCTGGCCAATGTGGGACAATTAAAGGTTCCAACACTCCCCCCACACGTGAGACCCCATTTATGGGTCACACGTGAAATAAGTCATGCGTGTGTACGCAAGTGGAATTCCTCTAATTATATCAAAGCCAGTTTCAACCTCTTTTCACTATACGAAGAATATTAAACTTTCTACAATCGGAAAAAAAATAGACAAAAAACAAACTCAAAGCCAATTGAATGACGAAAAACAAACTGATCAAAGCCAATTGACCATGACGAAAAACAAACTTGCTCCAATTCAAATGTGAGGTATCTTACTCATGTTAGAATGCCAATACCAAACTCAAAATCAATTGACAATGAAGAGTAAAATCACCACTCTTTTTTTATGTTCTACTGCCTCATTGCATTTTCAATGTACCATTTGCATATTTAGATAGGTGTTCAAAAACAAGTATTGAGTGCATGGTAATATTATACTAAGGGCTAGTTTGGCATTGCTGAAATTATTTTAAAAGTAGCTTTTTAAAAAAAAATAGGGCTAAAATTTGTGTTTGGTAAATGAAAAAAAAATTTGTCAAAATCATGGGGTTCAAAACAACTATACCCTTGCTTCTGAAAACAACGTGTTTTTTTTTTTTTTTCACAGCATAGCAACTACAAACTAGCCCTAAAAATATTAAACTTGCTCAAATAATAGACGAAAAACAAACTTGGAACTTACTGCATCCAGTCATAAAATGATCTTGAGCTTTGATGGATCAAAGTTAGATCTGGTCAATAAAACGCCCCCAATAATGAAGTGTAAGAGTAACCACCATCCAACACGACTCACAGTGTCACCCAATGCATTCGGAGATGGTCTAGTTAACGCATACTTCAAGGGATGTCACCCAATAGCGTAGGCTCAGTTATAACGGACAATTATTTTAAACACATGGAATGAAAAAAACCAAAAAAAATAAGAGTAGCATCATCGTCAATGATTCACTCATATGATCGTGATATCACATTTGCTCTAGTGCCTTCGCAACCTTAGATTTCTCACCATAGAACTCAATACTAACATCCATTGCCAAGCTCAAAGGCATTACTGTACTGGTTGGTTGGACCGAGTGAACAACGTGGACAGGATGAAGTGGAGAATGTATAGTCATGACCCAATTGGAATTGAGAGGACATGTTTACTATTCATTAATATTTGGGTAAGCATGAGTGAAATGAATGAGGATCGGATTCTTTTTGTGATTATTCTAGGGATCTTCAAATTATGTTCATTTATCATATATCGTGCAATCAAAAATTATTTTATTTAAAATTAAATATGAATAGTACATAATGAAAACTGATCGCACGATATACGATGAACAGACATAATTTGAGAACTCCTAGAATCCTCACAAAGAGGATCCTCATTCGAATGAATTAACGCTAGAAATTGAGATAAGCGAGAATTAGAGTCGTGAATTCTTATTAAATTGTTTGATGATTGCCATGAAACAAAAGAAAATAAGTGTATTTCCATCACAACTGTTTACGATTGTCAAAAATCAAAACCAAAACCATTTTGATTGCCAAAAGGCTCTTGGACAAATTTTCATTTTTGTTCAACTACTTCCGTCAAACTTGAATGTGAATAGCTTATCTGAACCTACTAATTATGCCATGCCTCATACTCGCCCGAAGCGACACAATACAAAACTTCAAACAAAACTAACTTATCCAAGACGGGAACCACCAATCAATTCGACTCCACGATGCCGACTACACCGATTCTAGAGATATTCATATCATCCACAAGAGGAGTGGCCACAGACCTGGCCAATTTATGGCTCAGGCACGGGTCGGCTGAGGAGAGCAAATGCCTGGGTCTAGAACGAACACTACCTATGCTGGCTTCTTCATTTGGACTTAGAGTGGAGGAGTATTTTATTAAAACGCAAATTCAGCTGAAAATCATCTTTATATATAATACTACGTAGATTGCATTTTAGTGCACTATGTTTGAATAACAGTGGGATCTATTTGTATTAGTGAGTTTTCTAATCTACTAATTCCTTGATAAATCATAGATTATTCTTGGCTACTCAAAGATGAGGAGGAAATCCTCCTACTTTGTGCTAATGATCGAACTGTTAAAGATGTAAATCATTATGTAAAGATCATCTTTACAAAAAAAAAAATTAAATTAAAACAAATGTTGTTAAGTCAATCAACAATTCAATTGCAGCAAGTAGATAAACGGTTCGTAATATTTTGATGACATAACAATCTCATACTTTTCTTTTTATTTTTTGTAAAATGTGAAATTTAATCTTTACACAATGACATATAATATGATTGATTCTGATCATAAACACAAAATTATATGAATTTCTAACAACACATTTTTAAAAGGATTTGGATTCTCTGCCCTCCCATTTCGGTACTCTCCCCGTGCCCTCCTGTTTTGTGTGGTCACAGTTAATCCATGCTAACATTTTATATTGTTTTTTATAAAAATAATAAGATAAAAAAAATAGTAATATAAAATATTAACGTGGCTTAACCGTGACCACACAAACAAGAGGGCACGGAAGAGCACAGAATTGAGAGGGCAGAGAATCCAAGTCCTTTTTAAGAAGATATCCTCTCATCGTTTCAGTAGTCCAGTATTATTTTAAGTCATATATATCATGTGCATGACCGGTGGTTGGCGGTGGGTTTTAATTCTTGGAAATTTTCAGATAGAGGTGATGATGTCATGTCTTTGCTGTCCTTTGCTAATTTTTTTGGTCAATCATCGTCTGACCCTTTTTTATAGATTCCGTGATCGTAATCTTTATCACATTGTATAGTAAAGAATTATTTTAAAATTTAAAATTTAAAATTAAATACAAATAATACCTAACGAAAACTGACCGTACAATATATGATGAACGGTCACGATCACGGGATCTCTAGGATCCTAGGGAAGGATCCGCCAGCTAGTACATGCAGGGTACGTTTGTTGTACAGGACTATCTCGGACTGGACTAGCTTCAGGGACTAAGCTGGATTGGCTTAGATTAGACTAATCTGGACTAACTTAGTGAAACGTTTGGTGCAGTCTCGGACTAAAAAGCATGATAACGAAAAACCATCACATTCATCACCCAAATGACCAACAAAGCAATTGAGAACAAAAATCATAAATTTTTTATTATATAAAATTATAAAATTTTCATTTAATAAATAATGATGTTAGGAGCTACACATGATATGGAGTCAGCGAATGAAGTACAATGTTGTGTATACAAAATGTATATATACGTTCTATATGATTTCTATTCGGCATACAAACTCAACTCAGGATCTTCTCCCTTCTTCCAGTAACTGGTGGAATGGTGCACTCGAGTCTGGACTCTCAATATCTGTTCTTCGCATATCAAATACGAAGAGAGCTTAACCTCGTGGCTGAAGATAAGGACACGCCAACATTCCTCTATGCACCCAACATGTGGAAATGCACTTGAGGTGCCCACCCATCCAGCTGGTTTAGGAGAGGTAAGGACTGCTAGTAACAAATTGAAGCTGTGACAATTCCTACAAGACCTCCGCCAAAGACGTCCTTCCAATGATTCAGTAATCATCACACGAGAGATTCCCACGACAGCAGCACATAGTGATGGAAGAAATACAATACAAAGCTTTGCATAATAGCCTCTGTGATCAAACACTTTGATCTTCCCAGACAAATACTATGCAAGAAAACCAAGAACTGCAAATAAAACTGAAGTATTTCAACACAAGGAATCAAACAACAACAATTTTCTGCATTTATTTACATAAGTGAGATTAAATGAACAATTGTAAAAAGCAATTGAAATAGAATCGAAGGGATATGAACGGGAAAGTACAATAGACCAAAACAAATAACTAAACCCAGTGCACCAGGATACTGCCATGGCAGCCATTGCAAAGTCATTGCAAAGTAGATACATAGACAAACAATTAATGAATTTGGCTCCAAGTTTTCGAATTTTATTTATTAATAATTTACCAAAAACAACACCCAAACTCCAAAGCTTTGCATCTGCATCCCAATTCTTTGTCCTTAATACTAGTTTTCTAATCAAAAGCCTTGCATCTACATCCAAAGCCTTGCATATACATCAAATTGTGGACGTGATAGGAATAGACAAGAGCACCACATGCTGAGGCACACAATTCTTTGTCCTTAATACTAATTTTCTAATCAAAATTTACACCATAATTATCATTTTACTTTCCTCATATAACACCTAATTACTGATATTAATATGAACAAATGTGCATCCCCGTGCACCAGGCTACTGCTATTGCAAAGTATTATAGTCATTGCAAAGTACAACAAACACCATGTACAACTGAAGAATGTAAATTTATCTGCTCAAATAAATTGATTGAGACACTTTTAAAGCGTCACAGTGATCGTTTCACAGTGTTAGCACATGTCTATTAGTAGTTGGCAATGCTCAACACTTTTTTCTTTGGTAATGAGGAGTTGGTCATCTCAGGCTTCCATTATTGGTAAAAACAAAGTCTACGTGAAAATGATGTCAAGGTGAATTTTTAGGCATGCATGTTATATGAGTTTTGGCAGTGTTAGGCGCACATACCAGCTGATCACAGATATTTGTTGACAAATATGTAAGCAAGTCAGATTTTCAAAGAACAAAAAAAGTCACCATTAGATCTTAAGATTTAATACGTAAATTATGTTAATAGAAAATTTACAATACAAACGTTGCAAATTACAATATGAAAAATAAACGAGTAAAATATAAAACCCACCCACTAAATTAAATTTGATTAATAAAACGTTCCAATGAAGAGTAAGAAGAGCCACCTTCCACCAAGGTTTTCTTGCTCTTTTCACTCATCTCCTTCACTCTTTTCCGTACATCACCGTCGCGCTCCATCGCTTGCCTTATCCCTCTTTCTATATCTTCTGCACTCACCAACACGTCACTGTCCTTCCTATAATCCAACTTAATCTCCACTGCCAATCCCAATTCCTTAACCAGTTGAAAGGCATTCAGGTTTTGCTCCGCGTACATTGGCCACGTGGCAATCGGCACCCCGTTCCATAAACTTTCCAACGTGGAATTCCACCCGCAATGTGATACAAACCCTCCGATCGCCGGATGGGCCAGGATGGCCGCTTGCGGGGCCCAACCTATCACCTTCCCAATCGGAGCTGTCCGATTAAGAAACCCTTCGGGCAAGACTGCGTTTAGATCCGCATAGTCGCTTGGCATAGCTATCTTGCCTTTAGGTGGGGGCCGGCGTAGGGACCACAAAAACCGCTGCCCGCTATGCTCCAGCGCACAAGCTATCTCTTTCACCTGGGCCTCACTGAAACTTCCCATGCTCCCAAAACATAGGAACACCACCGACAAAGAGGGCTGATCATCGAGCCACCTGAAGATATCCGAGCCCTTATTTTCATCACATCTTTTGAGGTTCAATAAGGGCCCCACTGGATACACGGGTGGGATTTTATCATCAAAATCAAGATAATGAAGAGCATGCAAATCCAGCTCCAAGAATGTATTTACCAAAATACCCTTGATTTGTCTACACCTGCTGGTATAGTTGAGGATTGATTCGGTGATCTCTTTGTCCGCAAACGTACCGGGCAAGACTGCGGCAGGGCAAGGGTTGATGAAACTCGGGACGGCCAACTCAGCGCTCGAGCGCGTAAACTCAGTTATATCTATGCCGCCCTCGTCGCGAAGCAATTGAAAATGGAACAAAAGTGCGAGCAGCGAAGCGTTGGAGGTGAAGAACGCGTAGGAGGGAACCATGAATTCGTCAGCCACGTCAACTAGGGTTGCGCATAAAAAGTCGAGCACGAAGCCGGCAAGCCGAGGCCTCGACATCGACTCAGACTGATCTGACTCAGAAAGTAAGTTGACAACGGCGTCTCTGATGTGAGTTTTGTGATTTTCGACGAGGATTCTGATCAAGGACCCGTGTTTGGGGATGGCTTCTTGTTTGTCCGGTTGGGCTTCGGGGAGGTTAACGAAGTTGATGCGGTGAGAGATTGAAGAGTCAGCGATGGTGAATGGTTGGTCGTAGGGAAGCTTCATGACGAGGACTGTGATAAACAGTTGGTCGTCCCGAGCAACGAGTTGCTCTGCAATCTCGATCGCTGATACGATGTGGCCGATAACCGGGCCGGGAACGACAACTAGTTGTGCTGGTCTCTTCATCTTTTCGGAAATGGCAATGAAAAGCTCAGCTGTTTTATTTAGAAAAAATGTTTCATATTATAGTAGAGTGGTGTGATGTCATGCCTTCGCTCACAGTTTCTGAATTACTGGACAAGTCAAGATCTTAATTAGTTTAATATTGGAATGACGGAAATCAAGCCAGAGGATAAAACAAAAGGTTATCAGATTTGATTTTGGTCGCACTACTAGTCGTAGGCCAGTGCAACTGTTTTGCCATTATTACAAGTCGGTCAAAGAGTAGGAATTGAAAAGATATATTATGGATTAGCACAACCAATAAAGTTTCACTATGATATTCACAAACATCATTTTACTTTTTTCATATTCTTTAATTTTTTGTAATCGGATTGGATGAATTGAAAAAGATCAAATGATAGAAATTAACAAGAGATGTAGGAGAAGTAAAAAATGATGTGTGGATAACACACCCCTCACTTTTTTACTTGGTCTATGTTTTATATTGTCTTCAGTAGAAAGTTTTGTTGAGAGTTATATATTAGTTAAAGTGTAAATAGTAGTTCATTGTTTCACATTGGTGAAGTACATATGTAATACCAATTGTAACTCCTATATATACTCCACTTTGGAGATTAATGAATGTATAAGAAATTCCCAAATATTGTCATATATATTTTTGGTATTTACCATGTTTAGTTTAATATTAGTATTTACCATGTTTAGTTCAATATGGCATCAAAGCAGTTCGCTCTTGGTGACCTATGTGCTTTAATTTTGTGCCCACATTTTTCGTAATTTCCTTCGTAAAAAAAATTTTAAAAAAAAAAAAACAAAGTGAATAGTGGCGCTACAGTACAGTGCGTGAACAGTTGTCTGCTTTGTGAACAGTGGTCCTCTACAGTGCCGTAAAACAGTGATTACTACAGTCGTGAATAGTGCTCTGCTACAGTGTCATAAACAGTGCTCTGCTATAGTATCTGGTAAATTGTTTTCATTCCGCTGCATATCTTTTGTGCCTTTATTGTTCGCGATTTTTGTTCAATAGCTCAATATAATCATAGTGTTATTATGCATCTTGGTGGAACAAATAAATGGATAATAGATACTGGGGACACTGATCATGTGCCTAGTGACCCTAGAGTGTTTGATGAGTTATGTGATTATGTTCGTGATTCGTATGTTACTAGTGCAAATGGAGCACATTTCCTTGTGAAGGGTGAAGGCACTATCTTTCTAACTCCTACCTTATCATTGGTCCGTGCTTTACTTGTTCTTGATCTTAAGTGCAATCTTTTGTCGGTAGGAAAACTTCTTGATACCTTATATTGTTCTGCTCACTTCTACCCTACGTATTGCTATTTTCAAGATATTCAAACTCAGAAGATAATTGATCATGGTAAAAGAATAGGGGGTTTGTACATCTTGACTATGGAGGATACTGTTGTTTCTGGTTTAAATAATCATCAAGTTTTAAGTGCTAAAGTGGATGACAGACATCAAATTTGGTTGTGGCATCGACAATTGGGACATCCATCATTCAGTTATATGAAACATCTATTTCCTTCTTTGTTTCGCACTTGTAGTGATTCAGAGTTCAAGTGTGAAACATGTGTTATGGCTAAGAGTCATCGTGCTTCATTTCCTGTAAGTGATTCTAAAGCTACTTTGCCATTTGATTTGATACATTCTGATGTATGGGGTCCAGCGAAAGTTACTTCTAATGGATTCCGTTAGTTTGTTACTTTTATTGATGATTGTACTAAGTTAACTTGGGTGTTCTTGATGAAGAATAAGAGTGATGTTCCGTTACTTCTTCAAGAATTTTGTACAATGGTGTCTACTCAGTTTCAGACCAAAGTTAAGGTCTTCAGGTCTGATAACGGGGGAGAATATGTGAATCACACTTTGGCATGTTTTTTTCGTGATCATGATATTATTCACCAGGCGACTACTCCGTTTACACCCCAACAAAATGGTGTGTCTGAATGAAAGAATAGTCAAATAATGGAAGTTGCTCGCTCATTGATGTTGGATAAATGTGTTCCTAATCATTTGTGGGATCATGCTGTTTTGGCTGCTGTGTATTTGATCAATCGTGTTCCAAGTAGGGTTCTTGATTTTCAGACACGGTTTGATGTGCTACAACAACATGTTTCTCTTGTTTCTGTATCAAATATTCATCCGAAAGTGTTTGGGTGTATTGCGTATGCGCATGTCTACTCTCATCAGCGGAGTAAACTTGATGCACGTGCTCTCATGTGTGTATTTATTGGGTATGCTAACAATCAGAAAGGCTATAAGTGTTATCATCATCCGACTTAAAAAACTTATATTACTATGGATGTCACCTTCCATGAGGAAGTTTCGTATTTTATGAAGCCCTCTTTCGACTCTCCACTTCAGGAGGAGATGGGGAGTGAAGTGCAGATTCGAAAAGATGATATGGATGATGTGTTACAGGCAGAGTTGGGAACATAACCTATTATGTTGCGTGATACTAATCAGTCGACTACAAATAGTGATCGGTCACCTATTATTCCCTGAACTATTTCTACTGACGATATATCAGATGTGCCCAGCGAGTTGCCTGTTAGTATGTCTGACGAATTACCTTCTAATGATCGGTTGCCTGCTGCTGATATGTCTAACAAGTTGCCTGATAATGGTTCGTCCAATGATGATTCTTCTAACAGTTTGGTACAAGATGGTGGCATACATGAGGTAAATTCTGACGATTCTTCTACTTATCAGTTGCCTCCACGAGCTAATCGTGGAAAACCTAAAGTACAATATGAGCCTGATATGCATGCCAAAGCCAAATATCCTATCAACAATTATGTGTCTACTCATCGTTTATCCAAACCATATGCATCTTACATATGTCAGCTATCTAGTGTATCAATTCCAACAAAATTGCAAGATGCCTTGTCTGACCCTAAGTGGGTTAATGCCATGCAAGTTGAGATGAAAGCTTTGGAAAAGAATTCTACCTGTGATTTGGTTCCTTTACCAAACGGAAAAAAAAAGCCGTTGGATGTAGATGGGTGTTTACTATTAAGCACAAAGCAGATGGTTTTATTGACCGGTATAAAGCTAGATTAGTTGCTAAGGGTTATACTCAAACCTATGGGGTGGACTATCAGGAGACATTTGCTCATGTTGCCAAACTTAATATTGTGCATGTTCTTCTGTCCTTAGCAGCAAACCAGGATTGGCCTCTGTTGCAACTTGATGTTAAGAATGTTTTCCTTCATGGTGATCTTAAGGAGGAAGTGTATATGGATCTCCCACCTGGTATTGGAACATCTCCTGGAAAAGGTGTTGTATGTAGGTTACGAAAGGCTTTGTATGGTTTGAAACAATCTCCTAGAGCGTAGTTTGGGAGGTTTACAAGTTCAATGAAGAAGTTTGGGTATATCCAGAGTCATTCAGATCATACTTTGTTTCTAAAGCGACAAAATAGTAAGCTAACTGCATTGATTATTTATGTTGATGACATGATAGTGACTGGTGATGATCAGAATGAGATACAACGTCTTCAAAAGTACCTAGCTATTGAGTTTGAGATGAAAGAATTGGATGAATTGAAGTATTTTCTTGGAATCGAGGTTGCACGATCCAAGCATGGTATTTTTCTGTCTCAACGGAAATATGTTCTTGATTTGTTAGCTGAAACAGGTATGTTAGATTGCAAACCTGTTGATACTCCGATTGAGCAGAATCATCGTCTGGGCTTATTTCCAGATCAAGTTCCTACTCATAAGGAACGGTATCAGAGGCTTGTGGGGAGATTAATTTATTTGTCTCAAACTCGCCCTGACATTGCTTATGCAGTTAGTGTGGTAAGTCAGTTTATGCACTCACCTAGTGAAGCTCATATGGATGCAGTAACCCGTATTTTGAGGTACTTAAAGATGGCTCCTAGCATAGGCCTGTTTTTCTCCAAGAATGGTCATTTAAATGTCGAAGGGTATACAGATGCAGAATGGGCAAGTACTATCACTGATCGGCGATCTACATCCTGATACTTTACGTTTGTGGGTGGTAATTTAGTTACTTGGAGAAGCAAGAAACAAAAAGTGGTGGCTAGGTCAAGTGCAGAAGCTGAGTTTCGTGGTATGTCGCATAGTGTATGTGAGTTGTTGTGGTTAAAAAAATTGTTGAGAGATCTTGGGTTTAACCCCAAAGGTGCTTTGAAACTTCATTGTGATAACAAGGCTGCTATTGAGATTGCTCATAATCCAGTGCAACATGATCGAACAAAACATGTGGAGATTGATCGACATTTCATTAAGGAAAAATTGGATGCTGAAATTATTATGTTTCCGTTTGTGAGATCTGAAGATCAACTTGCTGATGCTCTTACTAAGGCTGTGTCTAATAGTGTGTTTTCCAACTCGCTTGACAAGTTGGGCATGCGTGACATCTTTGCACCAACTTGAGGGGGAGTGTTGCGAGTTATAATTAGTTAGAGTGTAAATAGTAGTTTATTGTCCCACATTGGTGAAGTACATATGTAATATCAATTGTAACTCCTATATATACTCCACTTTGGAGATTAATGAATATATAAGAAATTCCCAAATATTGTCATATATATTTTTGGTATTTACCATGTTTAATTTAATATTAGTATTTATCATGTTTAGTTCAATAAGTTGAAGAACTGAAAATCGACATGATGCACACTAAGTCAAGATTTCAGTTACTAAGCACATCAATGTTGTGCTAGTTTAAATCGATACAGAATCCGACGTGTATTGTTCATTTGAAGATATTCGATAATATTTGAACGATAAGAGGGGAAGAGGAGGAGAATTTCACAAGTCCAAACTTCTGTACCCAAAACTATACGTAGCGTCTTTGTGCTCTATCTATTTGAGTGACAAGTGTTTTTTTACTTAAATTCATCCAACACCATTTAAAAAACAAAAACAAAAAACTAAATAGTAAAGAAGAATAAACACAAGATCCCCCTAATCCCACCCACCCCAACGCTACCTTGCCAGCAGACTCCCTCTCCTCCTCACCTGTCATTGTCGGCGAGCATGTCTGATAAGTTTCCCAAACCTTTATGATGACATTGATGACGCTTCTTACATAGAACCCAGAACTATTTCCGCCCCAATTGCAAAAACGCACAACCCAAAATTAGAAAAATTGACATAGTATTGAATTTTGAGAGGATTTTTAATGAATAAACCATGCCCTCTCTCTTTCTTGTCTCTCTCTAACCCACAACTATTTCCACTTGTTAATGTTCAAAATTGTAAGGTTAACAAATTTAAATAAATGATATTAGATGGACTGATGAGATGGGTTGAGATTAAATGGACTCAATGAAGTAAGTGGTTTATCCCTAAAAAAAATGGGCTACATCTACTGTGTTGCTCTCAATATGATGATTTCAATGCCATATAGTGCACAATTAATACATTCATTCTATTATCTCTTATTTGTCTAACCCCCATTATAGAGGTATTCACCCCTTTATATAAGCCTTGTCCCTTTGAGGCCTCTCAAACAGACATTTAAAGTACCAACCACTTATACTAGCATACTAACAGTTTTTCACATAATCGAACTGGCCTTTGTCGACGAAATGATGTATTGGCAATCGGATAACACACCTTTTAAAGACTAAATGGCCCACGCTTCTCGCTCGAACCTCGGTTGCTCTGGCTTGCCTTTGTGTCCCATCGTAGACCTCTGATGTTTTCTACACTTTGTTGAAAAGTCCAAGTAGCACTTAATTAAGTAATCTTATTCTTGGAGACTTGTGCTATAAGATGTCAGCATGCCCATGTGTTCTTCTCAGTCAGCAGCCTCTCTCTCGTCTTGGTCAGACTAAGCATGCGGGCTAGTTCTCTGAGGATTCCTTGGGCCTCGGGTTTCCTAGCATTTCCTTGTGCCTATGTGTTGCCCCTAAAAACTACCAAGCCTACGTGGTACACATGCCAAGTAATTAAAAAGCTAACTACGTCATTCGGTTGTGTAAGGTGTGCCAACTCAACGGTCGACCTTGGTCGGTGAGTAAAATAAGTTGATGTTGCATTAGGCGCACTGCTGACTTCTGATTCTCGCGACTGCGGCCGAGAAAGGAACACGTCTCGGCCTTCAGGTTCTAGAGCCTGAAGACAAGGCTACTAATTCTGCGAAGTTCAATATCAAATTCAACTCTCAGGGTGTCGAATGTAGTAACCTGGTAACACCTCACTTTACAAAAAAGGCTGATGAGATGACCTCTGCCAATAAGGACTCGAAAATTCTTTTTGACCAAGATTTGAATAGGTAACCAGTTGGTCTCGGAGCAGTGCTATTTATCCAAACTGAAGATGTTCACAGGTTGCCTTCACAATGATGTTTATCCAAACTGAATATGTGTTGACGAAAAAGGAAAATAAAAATCTCAAGGTTGTTGAGAGGTTTCGCATAGAGCAAAAGTTTGTGCAGGGCAGTTTATGTGTTGAATTGGAGAGGCCTTTTTAGTCGTCTGCCGCTCGGTATTAATAGAATCAAAACTCTTAGACGTGTTGTAGAATCCAACCAGTGAACATCCAACTATCTTTGATGATAAATCACAACCATCCTTTATCCCAATCTCAATTGCCGCAACATCAAGTAAAATCACAACTGGACAAAATGGCATATGCCATCTTTTATCCCATATTTCCACGTGCATGGGTTCATAAAATCAATAGCACCTTTATTGGCTAATTATCTAAGCAAGTTACCCCGTGCTGGATAAGTAACCCAATCTCCTCCACCTCATTAACCAACCAACGATGGTCATCAGATCATCTTTATCTAAACCAACTAACTTTGATCAAATTCCAATGATAATACGATCCCATATTTATCTCCATTGTATTTGTATAAATGCATGGAAGATAGTCTGCCATACTCTAACTCCATTCATGATAGTCATGCTATCTATCCATGAGATTGCAGCAGTATTAATTCACACGATATCGTATCAAATCACCACGACTTTATCACCTAGTTGTGCTCTAGATAATTCAATATATTATTACGAGATAATTATTATGATAAAATTCACAAAATTATTCCTTAACAATAACTAAAATTATTCTGACTCGGTCACCTAATGGCTTAGAACTTCGTTCACTCAATAGCCTCGATCGTTCAGGCCGATTGTGTAATTTTGGGTCCAAACACTATGTCCATGGGTGGGCCCAAAATTCCCCTAACTCCTTCGTCAAGGGGTTACTTGTTCACAAATACGTACCCTCTAGCAAATCTAATTTTCAACCAAAATAATATGACACACCCCAAACCCGATATCCCCACATACTAGGGTAAGCATGTGTTGGCCGACACCTGAGGGTGACGAAGCCATTTTTAACATGCATACCAATAAAATATGAAATTAAAACAAATTAAACCAAAGCAGAATCGTGTTCAAAGCATACAACTACTTAAGAATAATGTGAAAGAATTATAATAGAAGGTACGAATAAAGGAATGAGTCATACACTGAGAAAACTCGAAGATGCCTAAGCGAAAGTGCCTGATGCCGGGATCATGTGCCTCGATCCTAACTCCTGAAGGGCGCAAAAACAGAAAAGATGAGTGGACCATAATTTATATTAATACTAATAGTAAGAAAATTGTTTTATTTATGAACGTAATAACCTCCTGTTTTGAAAACACATATATAATACTACATATATATTTTATGGAAAAACCCTAGCATGCCATGTAGAACATTCGTAAAACATGTATGTAAAACCAGTGCTAAAAAATGGTAATCACGCCCGAAGGCAATTCTGTAAATCATCTGTAAATCTCGTCAGTGAAGTACTCAACTAGGGGTATCATAGTCACCCCAAGGCAGTACATGTCCATCACCCGAAGGTGAAGCTGAATAACATGTCCATCACCCGAAAGTGAAGCTATATAACCTGTCCATCATGACACGCCCCGACCCTGATATTCCCCGAATACCAGAATAGACACGTGCTGGCCGACACCCGAGGGTGACGAAAGCCATTAATTGATACAAAAGCTAAGAATAAGAAATAAATAAGGGTTATGAATTTAAAATACCAAGAATTTATAATTTAGGAACGTGCTCAGAGCATACAATTAAACCTAATCACTAAAAGGAATTAAGATAAAATTTAATGAATAAAGGAGTGAGTCCTACATTCGAGAGGATCCGAATATGCTGCTGCAGAAGTGTTTTGACGCCGGGATTAGGTGCCTTGATTCTAAGTCCTGAATGGGGGCGCAAAACAAAGGTGAGTGGACCAAGTTTATATATATATATAATAATAATAAAACAATTATCAAGATACTAACCCCCAAAGTTTATATAAATGAAAACTACTAGCATAATAAGTGATGAATTTAATAAAAATCCTAGCATGCCAAAGTATCTCAAAAAGCCATATCGCGGAAAATCAAAACAGTAAACGTCTCGTAAATCGTCTCGTAAACGCGGTGTGCTGCTAGAAAGATCACTGAATAAATATAACTCCCGGCCCAATGCCTGCACCTCAGTCTCTGTGCCCGTAGCCAGAGATAACTCCCTCCCGGCCCAATGCCTGTCTCCGTGTCCCTCAGCCTTTCGCTAGGGATTATTTCTCCCGGCCTACATGCCAACACCAGATCCTCTCCCCAGGCGGCATAGTGTCCACTAGGTACGCACAAATAGTTACGTCTCTCTTAAATAACCACTTCATAGCATAGGTTACCGAATATCGTCTACGCTATAAAGAGGGGTTCAAAAACATGTTCTAGCATCCTATCGTCATCTGTCAGATAGTCTACCAGTTCATGATTTTTATAGAAAATACGATATATAAAAATATAGCTCAAAATAGGCTAACAATTAATTCCTCACCAAAACACGAGACGATAATCAATATATTAAAACAACAGGCTCCACATAAATCAGATCATAAATTCGTAGGCATGCTAATCAATTATGCAATTAAACTATGAAATCATGTAATTTTAGAAGGGGTCCACTCACAAATATTCCTTAGCAGAAGAGTCGCGCGAATAAGGATTTAGAATTTCTCCACTAGCAATTTTACCTAAGAACAAGAATGTATAATTAATAAAATGATTTTTCTAAAAGATTGGTTTTGAATTAATTTAAATAAGGGATTTGGGATTGGATGGGTTTAGGGTTTTTAATGGGTTTTGGGAACCTAGGGCTCTAGAATTAAAAGGGGATGGAAAGGGGTTTGGGCATTAAGCCCAAACATATAAACTTAGCCACACACGCACACGGGCACAAGGCCCTCAGGCCTCACTACAGAAAACAGGGCTTTAAGCCCTTGATTAAAAACCGGCCCAAGGCCAAAACAAAAGCTAGGGCCCGAGCCCTTTGGGCTTTAAAAAATTTAAATAATTAAAAATAAAAATGGAATGGGTTAGGGTACTGGGCTAAGGCAAAACGGGCTGGAGGCCCATGGGAAAGGAAATGGGAAAGGCCGGTTGGCCTGTGGCTTGCCGAGAGAGAAGGCCGGAGCTGCTACAGCTCCGGTCACCTGAAAACTGGAGCTTCAAGCTCCGATCTAGGTACGAACGTGAAGCACAAGGAGAGAGGAAGAGATTTATACCTTCCAAATGTCGTAACTCGGTCGGAGGTGACCGGGAAAGTCCTCGGGGTGCACGGGTTCACCGGAAAAGTGGGTGTGCTCACCCACGACCGTTCCGAAGCAAAAACCTACGTAAAAAGGTAAGGTTCAAGCTTCTAAATCACAACCAAACCAAGAACTAGGTACGAGAGTAAGAGATTTGAGACCTACCCGACGGAAAAATGGGGAAAACTCGCCGGAGCTTTGCTCCGTGCCGTTGAGCCGCAGTGCAGGGATCCCTGGTTCGTTGCGAGCCTCTCTTCGATGGTGACTCGGTCCTAGTGAGTCCAGGGGAAGAGAGAGATGCGAGAGGTTGAGGGAGAGAGGTACGGGATAGCTGAGAGGGAGAGAGCTAAGGGAGAGTTACGGGGGAGAGAGACGAAGAAGGAAGAGAGAGACCGGGGGAAAACAAAAAAATTATAAGGTGGGCCCTACGGGCTCACCAATTAAGACCTTAAAACAATTTTTAAATAAAATGGGGTTGGGGTGTTTCACATCACCCGAAGGTAAAGCTATATAAAATAGCATACATCCACACTGACACTAGCCGTGGCTAGTGAAGTTATCCAACACTGTTTATGGCAGTGAAAATGGAGGTATATAATATATCATATCTCACTCCTCCATTATCTGTGTCCTATGGCCAAAGACATATATACACGTGGTGTGCAAATGTACCGTATGATAACCCACTAGGTTAGTACCAAAAACATATCTTAAAATCTCATATCAAAACCAGAGCTCATCAAAACTCAAAGCGTCATCTCATGAATCCATAATATAAATCATGATCAAAAGCCACATAATTTGTATATGTAAATCCATAATTCATCACCTTTAGTGAAATGTAGGTTTGATAAATAATAACCTTCGTAAAAATAATTCAAATAATTCAAATAATTCTTAATTTCTCTTAAACCATAAATATAGAAATCTATAAAGGCATAATATAAATCCATAATATAAATCACATTCAAATCGTGAAATAGATCGTGCATGCTAGGCTAATATTTATAAAACATATAGTTTAAGAAGGGGTCCACTCACAAATTTTATTGCCTGAGAACCGCTCGAACTAGTGAGGATGACGTCGTTTCCTGCCAACGCGCATAAACACAATTAGGGACCTTTTAGTAAAACTATACCTAAACGATAGAATTTGGGAATGGACGGTGGATTTGGATTCAGCACGTCGGAAAACCTAAGGAGGGACCTCTGGTTTTTCCCCCACGTGCTGCCGCACGTGGCAGCCGGCCACCCCGACTCGTCGGAAAATCGAACAACTCCAAAAATTTTCAAATTTTACAAGAATGAAGATCTCAATGAGAAGAATAACTTTTGTACCTGGGCCGAGTCCAATTCGGCCAAGAAACACCCCCAATCACCCTCGAATCGTCGGAAACCCTAAAATAGGTGAACCCCGATTCGTCGAATTCGTAGCTCCACCGCCCCCAAACTTGTTTGGGCTTTGATCCAGACCTCGAAGGGAGTTGAACAAGGGTAGTGGTCGATGGCGGTGCTTGCAAAAACGATAGATTTTTGCCGATCTTCCCATGGTGCCGCCGGTGGTACCCTCACGAAACCAAGGTTAAAAATTAGATTTAGGGTGGAACTTGAAGAAGAAGGTCGTGGAGTTGGTTCTAGGTGGTTAAGTGAAGTGATTTGCTGAAAAAACAAACGAAAAACCGTCGGATTCCATAGTTACCGTTCGGGTCGAGTTGAAAAATGAGAAACGGGTCGTGGATCCTGTGGTTCTCATCTCCCTCATTTCCCCTTCCTTCTTTCTTCTCCCATTGGTCATCATCCATCCCCTCTACCCTGGATTGGTCCTCATCCCCTTCTTTCACTCATATTTCTTTCCATCTCAACCGTATTTCTCCCTCATTTCTCTTCTTTCTTTTCCATCACAGCCACACATGTGGCATCAGATTGGTGTTCCAACAAAATTTGGAGCCTTCCAAATATATCGTCAAATGACCATTTTGCCCTCAACTTTGTTCGTTCATAACTTATTCGTTATAACTCCAAAATACGTTCGTGTTCGTAGCGACAAATACTACGAGTATACACCAAGAAAATGGATCTTACGTGACATGATAAGGCGGTCAACAAAAGTTAACGTATTAGCCTCGAATGGCATTTTCGTAAATTTCGTAAATTTTCATAAATTTACATTTTAAAATGAAGGTTTCCACTTTCCAAGAGGTCAAAGGCAGTAATAGGACCGGACTCCACCTTGGATTATGTGAGAAACATGGGGTGGTGGGTTACATAGAGTAATTAATTGGTTTTCAACCACCCACCGCTGAGTTGTCTATTTTTTATTTACTTATCTACTTAAAATAATGTTTTATGAGGATATATAAATAATGTTTTGTTGTCTTCTATTTTAAATTACCATATTATCTACTTAAAATACTCACATATATATGTATGTTCTTCTTTTAAAAAAAAACATAATACTCAATAATTATATATTAAATTTAATTAACCTACTTTAAAAGAATGATAAATTACCATATTATCTACTTATCCCCTTAATTAACCTTAATAATTATATATTAAATTTAATTATCCTATCTACATTACTATATTTCCTTATTTTCCTCCTATTTTGCATTTTATATGGTTTTAAATTGTCAACTTATTGTACATGTGTCATCCGACAATACTCCTCACTATGGTTATATGACAGACATGCTTAATTTGTTTATAAAATTTGGACTTGTTGGATACTCTTTTTGCATTTTATCATTCTTTTATTATCTTATCCATGGATTTCATACAAGTATAATTTTTTGTAAGTATCAATATGCACTTATTTACAAGATATACAAGAAATTTACTTAAATCCTCCTAGGCCGCCTAGGCGCTAGGCGCCAACCCGCCGTTCGACTAGCGCCTAATGTTTTTTAGAACCTTGGTAAAAGAGTAACAGAGACCAAAAAAAACCACACATAAAATGAATGCAGAGGATTTAATCACATACGTAGACAAAGAGTGGGGCTAGCTGTGACTATTTGTTTTGGTAGTGTATAGTGTGTATAGCAGCTGATGAAATAGACAGCTCATATTAGTGAACTTAAGTCCCTCATGATTCCTTGAATATCACGCAACTGCGAACACAAGACTTATCTGCATTTATTGAGGTCAGAAATGGGGAAGTGTATATATATTCTCCCGCATAGGATCGATGGATTACAAGTTTACAAAAAACACCATGTAGAGCACAAGAATGTAAATTTATCTGCCCAAAATAAATTGATCGAGTGTTAAAACACGTCTATTAAGTTATTAGTTGGCAATGCTCACAGTTTGTAATGAAGAGTTGGTCATCTGGAGCTTCCATTATCAGTTAAAAAAAACTCTATGTTGAAAATGATGATCCAAATTAATTTTTAGGCATGCATTAGGCACACATGCCAGCTGAATTGATCAGTACAGGGCCATTTTCTGAAAATCTCGACATCAAGGTTACTTGTTCACACATACGTAAGGAAGTAAGATTTTTAGAGAAGAAAAAATGTTACCACAAGATTTTGAGATTTGATATGTTGAACTATGTATTACAACGAAAAACTTATAATACAAACGTTGCAAATTACATAACGTAAAAATAAGCGAGGAGAATATAAAAGCCCCCCCCCCAACCCAATTAAATTTTATCAATAAAACGCCCTAATGAAGAGTAAGAAGAACCACCATCCACCAAGGCTTTCTTGCTCTTTTCACTCATCTCCTTCACTCTTTTCCTTACATCACTGTCAAGCTCCATCACTCGCCTTATCCCTCTTTCTATGTCTTCTGCGCTCACCACCACGTCGCTGTCCCTCCGATAATCCATCTTAATCTCCACTGCCAATCCCAACTCCACCACCAATTGAAAGGCATTCAGGTTTTGCTCCGCGTACAATGGCCATGCGGCAATCGGCACGCCATTCCATAAACTTTCCAACGTAGAATTCCACCCGCAATGTGATACAAACCCTCCGGTTGCCGGATGGCCTAGGATGGCCGCTTGCGGGGCCCAACCAATCACCTTCCCAACCGTAGCCGTCCGATCAAGAAACCCTTCGGGCAAGACTGTCTTTAGATCCTCGTAGTCGCTTGGCATAGCTCTCTTGCCTTGAGGTGGGGGCCGGCGAAGGGACCACAAAAACCGATGTCCGCTGTGCTCTAGCGCGCACGCTATCTCTTTCACCTGGGCCTCACCGAAACTTCCCATGCTTCCAAAACACAGGAACACGACCGAGAAAGGAGGCTGATCATCAAGCCACCTCAAGATATCCGAGGCCTTATCTTCATCACTACTTTTGAGGTTCAATAAGGGTCCCACTGGATACACGGGTGGGATTTTATCACCAGAATCAAGATAATGAAGAGCATGCGATTCTAGCTCCATGAATGTATTTACCAAAATGCCCTTGGTTTGTTTATACTTGCTGACGTGGTTGAGGGTTGATTTGGTGCTCTCCATGTCCAGAAGCGAACCAGGCAAGACTGCGGCAGGGTAAGGGTTGATGAAACTCGGGACGGCCAACTCAGCGGTTGAGCTCGTCAACTCAGTTATATCTATGCCCCCCCTCGTCACGAAGCGATTGAAAATGGGACATAAGTGCAAGAGCCGAAGCGTTGGAGGTGAAGAACAGGTAGGAGGGAACCTTAAATTCGTTGGCCACGTCAATTAGGCTTGCGGAAAACATGTCGAGCACGAACCCGGCAAGCCGAGGCTTCGACGTCGACTCAGACTGATCTGACTCGGGGAGTACGTTGATAACGGCGTCTCTGACGTGAGATTTGTGATTTTCGACGAACATTCTGAAGAAGGACCCGGGATTGGGGACAATGTCTTGTTTGTCCGGTTGGGCTTCGGGGAGGTTGACGAAGTTGATGCGGTGAGAGATTGAAGAATCAGTGTTGGTGAATGGTTGGGCGTAGGGAAGCTTCATGACGAGGACTGTGATAAACAGTTGGTCGTCCCGAGCAGCGAGTTGCTTTGCCATCTCGACCGTTGATACGATGTGGCCGATGCCTGGGGCGGGAACGAACACTAGTTGTGCTGGTCTCTTCATCTTTTGAGAAATGGCAATGAAAATCTGAGCTGTTTTATTTAGAAAAACTCTTTCATTTTTATACGGTGATACGGTGTGATGTCATGCCTTCGCTCATAGTTTCTGAATTTCAAGTCAAGATCTTAATTACTTTCAGTACTGGAAGGACTTGGGCATCAAGCTTGTCTGCTTGAGGATAAAACTAAAGGTTATCAAATTTGATTTGTCAACTACTGGTGTAACATGTGTGACACGATTGTTTCGGAAATATAAAACAAAAGGATATTTTAAAATACATTTAACCAACTGCTGAAATCAAATAGAATCAAATTTAATGGTAAAAAAAAAATCTCACGGTCCAAATTTAAATTTAACAGCTAAAATAATTTAAAAAATAGGCATTTTGATTCAAGTCCAAAATATTCAGCTATTTTCAAATCTAGTCCAGTTTTATTTAATTTGTTATTATACCTGTTTTGCCCCTTAGAGTAAAAATAAAAATAGATTTAAATTTCTTAAATTTTAAATTTTAAATGCCTTTATCTACCCACTTTCTAATTGAAACATTTTAAAAATTCATATACAACAAATATGATAAGTTTATTAAAAATTAAAAATTTGGAGAGGTAAGAAACCTGTGAAATCAATATAATTAATCTATAATATAGGTATATTATAAAGAAGAAAAACATGTGAGGTAGATTATGAACAAAAACCTATGATATAGGTCTACAAAAGTATTGTCTACCTCAATATATACCTATTATATAGGAAGACATATACTTTATACCTAGAAAGCAGATATACTCTACAAACTATGAGCAAAAACCTATGGTAAAAGTTGATAAACATTTAATTTGAGATAAGTTATAAAAAATATAAAAAAACATGTGATATATATTGTGAAATCCCGTTTCTGGATATCATTGTTATAATCCACATATTCGTATTATTGAGACTTTATATTATTTTACAAGAAATTATATTAATTTATTTGAATTTAGATTTTAAATTAAACTAGTTACGAAGTTGAAGTTTGGAAATTAATTATCTAAAATTCGTAGACCTTTCTAGGTCACAATTTATATTTTTGGATAGATCTCGAAACCACGAACGCATAGGCGAAAGCCGTTTGCGAGTCCGGATTATAATGGTAAAGTTGCGGACATCTAAAGTTGTGTTTCTAGACTATAGATTTTAATTTTCTTTAAAACTCCCCGTGGAAATGGTGACCAAGGAAAAAAAGGGAGGACCAACCCAATTCATGGGGGAGTTTAAGGGAATCAATCAGGAAAAAGAAAAGAAAAAAAAAAAGAGGGGAGTTGCGGGAGAGACGGGAAAAAAAAAAGGGGGGAGAGACCAACTGGAGGAGGGGAGAGGAAAGGGAAGAAAATGAGTGACCAATGGGGGAAGCAGAAGGAGGGAAAGGAAAGAGGGGAGGAAACACACAACCCGGACCCCCTTCCCCTTGACCCGACTTTCCTCGACCTGACCCGCACTACAACAAATTCAGACGGGTTTCCCGTCCATTTTTCCGGCGATTGACAACCTTCCACCCCTACCAAACAACTCCCCAGCCCTCCCTCTTCCATTTCCACCCGAAATTAGAAGGAATTTGGTTTTGTTTTGGTGGAAAACAACGCGACGAGATTTATGGGTGTTGGCGGCAATTCCACCGTTTTTGTAGATATCGCCGATGACCACCACCCTTGTCCAACTCCTCTTGAGGCCTGGATAAAAGCCCAAACCAGTTTGGGGGCGGCGGAGCTACGATTTTGACAAATTGGAGAACACCCAATTCTAGGGCTCCGACGGGTTTATGGCAATTGGAGGCTTTTTCCGGCCAAAATGGACTTGGCCACAAGTATAAAACTTGCTTTACTCATTGAGAGCTTCATTTCTGTAAAATTTGGTAATTTTTAAAAATAGTTGAATTTTTCCGACAAGTCGGGGCTGCGGGTGTAGTGGCGGCCTGGCCAATGGGTCGAAGACGTCCTTTTAAGTTCAAATAAATGCCTTGGTTTCATAATTAATATTTGTATGACGTAATTTGATTGTTTGGACTTAGTTCATTACGATACCTTACTTGGTCAAAATATAAATCAACGATCCGACCATTGGATCGTCACCAAACCTTAATGCGTGATAGAACATAATATTTGTGCATCATAGAAACTTACGGATCGGGAATCCGACGTATGAATCTTCCCTAATTGGATTTCTAAGTTGGTAAAATAAATTGTTGACCGCCACTTAATTCTAGTAATTGGTGGAGATCCGATCGTCGGATCGCGATGGGAATTTAGTATGTTGTTCTAGAAGCATAATGTGGACTTTGGGAAGTTATGGATCAGAAATCCGATGTGTGGATCTTTAGGATCAAATTACGTAGAGTTGTGGACCCTATCGTTGACCAAGAGTTGATTTGTGGTCAACACGTCTCGAAACGTTTTAAATAACAAAATTAGTACTTCGGAACTAATTCAAGTCTAGTGGGCCTATATTGGTGAGATAGTGACTTGAATGCATGAGATATAATTATTATCTTAATTTCTTATATTAGTATCATTTGTGAATATGAATTGGTCTTATAAATATGATTTCTATTGAAATGTGAACTTTATATATTTAGCCATAGACCTATGCTAATTAAATATGTTTTGGCTTGTGTATTGATGATGTTTGTGGTATCTATGTGTTTAATTAACTTTTTAATAATGGGAATGACAATTATGGGATCTAAATATTGTTTGATAATTAATTGGGTATGATTGCCAAATGAATACCTATTCGAACTTGGCATTATTACCTAGCATGAGATGGAGATGAAATTCAGGAAATGAGTTAGGTACTTTATTAGATTTTTAGTAGAAATAGTAATTGAGGGAATTCCCTGTGTTGTGCTCCATATGACTAGATGATGGTTGATATGTGGAATCGATAGCATGTATGTGTATAACTATGTATAACTTTTATGCTTGTATGATAAGATAGTTAGTGGTCATGAGAAGTTGATAGTGCAAGTGATTCCGTTGAGTGATGGTTCGGAATCATATCCTTGTTTGGATTCCGTTGAGTGGTCCAAAGTCGCATCACTTTACTTGTTGGTTTCTTAGATTTGATATCAGCTACAGAGATGTAAGCTTGGCTTAACTGTGTCACTCTAGCCTTAGTTTTAGTATATTTGTGAGCAATGGTTTTGAGAATCTTGTGGATTGAATTAGAAAAGCTGTTGAACGTTTGGGTGACTCCTTCAAGATTTTCTATGATTTCTTAAAGTATGAATTTAGAAGATATGGTTATAGTTGTTATTATTCTGGTCAAATTAGTTAATTAGTATGGATAGAGAATTGTATTGTGCTTCGTCGGTTCTTTGATATGATATATGTTGTGAATTGCGGTATCATGTTGCGACATAATGACTTATATAGAAGATGGAAGGGAAATCATGATTTTCAGGTGGGTTTGTTATGTAACCCTGAGTCTAGTAATTTCATGGTTGTCAAGTTATATTGATTGATTGAGAAATGTTATGCCTTTCGGCTTAAACGGACTGTGTTATATGTCAATTGTAGTGCACGATGAACTACGAATGGCTTGATCCCTAGGTAGGGTACGTAGGCAGTCTAACGAGAAGCTTACATGCAGCCATAAAGTGCACAAATTTTACTACGCAATTCGAGGCATGTGCTTGCTATATATCTCGGAGACGAGTATGTTAGATATATGGTTATTTGATGACGTCACGTGTCAATCATGGACGTACGTCAGGATCGGGACGTGACATATATAGTTAGATAAAATACTATTAATCTATAATACTATTAATATATGTACAGGGTAGATTGATAAAATAAAAAATTCAAGTAGATAAACACCAACGAAACCAAATGTGGTATCTGGATGACTTTCCCACATCATACCTTGCATATGAGCCACAATGTTTAGTTCACTTTGGTACCGTTTGGTACGCAGACGGGACAGGACAAGACGGAATGAAACAAAGGTTCCATGTTATGTTTGGTACGCGCAGGATGGAACGAGAAGATTGTTCCGTTCTGCGTTTGGTACTCGTTGGACGGAACGGAACCAAAAGATTAAATGACTAACTTACCCTTGTTCCATATGTTGTTTGGTACAATGTTTATGCGTGGGACGGGACGGGACAATTTTATTTTATTTTATTTTTGAACTTGTTCATATTTGAACACATATATGCTCATCTATGATACATTTTTTACACTAGCACATGGCTAAAGATATATTATGCCATGACCACCGGTCTGCAAGCATCTCTGGTCCTCGCTGACATTGCGAATTCAAAAATAAGCAAAGAATAAACATTGTATAACTGGAGCAGACATTCGGTAGGGATTCAGATAAACTTGATCCATATTAAAGACGTCTTAGTTGCATTCAAATTATTTGCCCAATAGCAGAACAGTTTTACACGTTCTCCTTAATCTAAATATATAAGCACATAACAAATTTAAACAGTAGGGCATTGACAAAGATCGACTCCATGCTGTGGAACTTAAATCCACTAGGATAAATCATGAACAAAATTAACACGACCATAGGTCAAACAATACATCAGTCGTGCAGTGTTCCCAGTATATCCTCATCTCGATATAGATGGTACCTAAAACAGCAAAAAATAAATAAAAAATAATGAGCATCTAATCGGACAAAGGAAGTGAATGTCGAAAGAAATAATACAGAAGTAAATGTTCTCAAAACTGCATCTATTTCTCAATCCTGACTAGTTTCACAAGTTCTTGTAACATACGTAACATAGTATGCATTCTCAAATGTTGTTCAGTGTCACACACAGAAATCCAAAAACACATGCTAACTAAAGCACACCTCTGCTTTACTGCAAAGATGCCTACTTGAGTCAATTCGCCAAATTGTAATCCTAGTAATAATACACATACAATGGATAAAAGCACACCTGTTTACAGAGAGCGATAAAAATAAGACACATACATACAAACCCCATGGACAGTCATTCGTGTAAGAGAAACAAGTAACATTTCACTATGTATTGTATCCATATGTTGGTTTATCTGAATGTCGCAAATTTGCAAGATCCATGTGTTGTATCTCACTGGACAAAATAGATAACATTTCACTATGTATTATCCAAGTACTACAAGGTGACAAAATAGAAGCTGAGAATCACTTGAATGAACTTACTAATGTGATCAGTTGTCCTTTCTTCTTGTCTGTCTGCCTTTGAGCTTTTATTCAGTTGATAAGATTCTTCAACAAAGTAGAGGGTATGCACCAAAACCTAACAAAGTTAGACCTTAATTATTAGATACATACGAACAAGCATCAACTGTATACTCAACCTATAAAAGAAAGGGCAATCGAAATAAAGAAAACACTAGAGCAGAAAATTCCACCTTCCACAATTGCTAAATTAATGTATGAGTAATTACAGCAATATTGGCTTCTAATCAATGTGACATAAACCTCAAAACTAGCTAGAAGACTGAATCGCATTCATAATTCCACCAATATACGACATTCAGATCAACCAGCACATGGATATGGCATAAATTTACTTGACCAAAACCCTACAGAATGAGATTACTTTACACTGGTGAGGGTAGCATCTGGAAGTGAAAATGATAACCAAACTGTTGCAAATCTGCAAGAGCACATATTTTCTATTTCTACAGAAAATTTATCAACATTATTAGTTCTTTTCACCATTTAATTTCCATAACTTTCGTGCTACTAAACACAAAATAAACATGACAGAAAAAACATACAGATTAAGAAGCAAACTTACTCGAATTGATAGGCATAATCGACGAGGTCGATGTTGGGAATAACAACAGGGCCTCTCGAAGGACATGCACGAAACGATTTTCTCAGAGGAAGACGATTGTTCTCTGCAGGATCAAACATTCTCCTAAAACAATATGACTGATTTGTGGATCAAATTAAAACCCAGAAATCCCAGAAATAAATCAGAATGCAGAAATCCCAGAAGTAAATCAAAACCCATAATCGATTAAACCCAGAAATCGATAAAAACCAGAAAACGTTCAAAACCCACTAATAATTTCACAAATCTTCAAAACAAAATCGAAGAAAATGAAGAAGAGGAAGTGGAAGAGGAAGCCCTGAGAGCTACAAAAAAACAGATTGAACCTGGAACGGAGATGCAGATCTGAAGATGCTACACGGAAGAGGATGAGGAGGAAGGTTCGCAGAGCTGCTACACGGAAGAGTTGCGAAGGGGAAATGCAGAGCTGCTACACGGAAGAGGATGAGGAGAAAGGTTGCGAAGGGGAGATGCAAGGGTGAAGAGGCTACACGGAAGAAGATGAGGAGTAAGGTTACGAAGGGGAGATGCAGAGGTGAAGAGGGTCAGCGGCTGAGAAGAAGAAAAGATAGTTTTTAGGGTTTGTTGTATGATTTTGATGATGTAAATTTTGAAAAAGACAAGGAGCATTTTTGTCTTAAAATGTTAAAATTTTCTGTCCCGCGGACGTGGAACAACTCGTTCAGAGGGGAGGTGGAACATAAAATCATTCAAAACTTGTCCCGTGAAACAGCCCGTTTCACTCGTTTTAGGTGCACCAAACGTGGAACGGAACGCATCGTCCCGTTCCGTTCCGTCCCGTCCCACGTACCAAACGCGACCTTTAAGCATGATTAAAACGGACACGAGAATTAAATGCAAAAAGTGTCATGCATCATTCAAAACAACACCCAAGTAGAAGAATCATCATCCTGTTGTTGTAGAGCAACAAGTACCATGATAGTATGTTTGAGTTTCTCTCAGAAAAGTTGTAGCGCAACCACCTTCAACTCATGGTGGAGCAACAATGCAGTCTTCCATGTTGCAACAACTTTAGCATAAAGGGGGAGGATACTCCACCTGATGCCCAACAGCAGACGCAATAGACATCCCCTTCTCATCCCTCATATATAATCACCCCAAAATCACCCAACCAATAATTCTTACGAGAAAGTTTAAGTTATTAACAGATTAGTTCAAATCCTATAATTAAGGAATATGTTCAATTACTAATCCTAAAACTAAAGGATTAGGTGCATTTACATATTTATAATAATTTATAATCTTAGGGGTATATTGGTGTGAAAAAAGTAAATATGTTGATGTGAAATCCTAGTCATCAAACCTATTTCACATGACACGCTCCGACCCTGATATTCCCCGAATACCAGGATAGACACATGTTGGCCGACACCCGAGGGTGACGAAAGCCATTAATTGATACAAAAGCTAAGAATAAGAAATAAATTAAAAATTTAGGAACGTGCTCAGAACATACAACTAACTAAAGTTCTAAAAGAATTAATATAAAATTTAATAAATAACGGATGTGGTCCTACACCGAGAGGACTCGAATATGCCAAAGTGAAGACGTTGACGTCGTGATCGTATGCCTCGATTCTAAATCCTGAAAGGGGGCGCAAAACAAGGGTGAGTGGACCAAGTTCATATATATATATATATATATATATATATATATATATATATATATATATATATAATCCGAAAACAGTTATGAACATACTAACCCCCAAGTTTATATATAATGAAAACTACTAGCATAATAAGTGATGGATTTAAATAAAAATCCTAGCATGCCAAAAGTATCTCAAAAATCATATTACGGAATAACATCGCGGAAATCAAAACAGTAAACATCTCATAGATCATCTCGTAAGCCCGGTGTGCTGCTAGAAAAATCACTGAATAAATATAACTCCCGGCCCAATGCCTGTTTTGTGGTCTCTGCGCCCGTAGCCAGAGATTACCAACTCCCAGCCCAATGCCTGCTTCGTGTCCCTCAGCCCGTAGCTAGGGATTATTTCTCCCGGCCTATCTGCCAACACTAGATCCTCGCCCCAGGCGGCATAGTGTCTACTAGGTACGCACAAATAGTTACGCCTCTCATAAATAACCATTTCATAGCATAAAGTCATCCATCGTCTATACTATAAAGAGAGGTTTCTAAAACATGTCCTAGCATCCTATCGTCATCCATCGGATAGTCTACCAGTTCATGGTTTTTATAGAAAATACGATATATTAAAATATAGCTCAATATAGGCCAACAATTTATTCCTCACCAAAAACACGAGACGAAAATCAACATATTCAATAAACATGCTTAACATAAAATCAGAACATAAACTCGTAAGGCATGCTATTCATTTATGCAATTGAACTATAAAATCATGTAATTTTAGAAGGGGTCCACTCACAGTACTTCGCCGTCGAAAAGTCACGCAACTAGCAAAGACAGAAATGCCACTATAATTGCCCCTAAGCACATAAAGAGTCTAATAAATAAAACTATATAATAGCAATTGAATTTGGGAAAACGGACATTGGAAACGGATTCAGAACATCGAATTACCATATAAGAAGGGTCCTGGTTAAAAAAAAGACTCGAAGGCCTTAAGCCTAAGGATTTTGGGTTTCTAGATAAAAAGGATTGGGTTAAAAAAGGTTAGGACCTATTAAGTTTTGGGTTTGGATATGTTAGGTACAAAAGGGGTGGTTTGGGCTTAAGCCCAAATCCACACACACACGGCACACAACATACACACACACACACACATACTACACAAACACACACACACACACACACACTCACAGCCCAAAGGCCTCACAACCAAAAGGGTTGGGCTCGGCAGGGAAGGCCCAAAGGCCTTGGGTTTCGTGGGTCGCCGGACCCAATGGGAGAGAAAGCCAGAAATCGGCCTGAAACTGCACAACCTTTAAACGGCCATAACTTTGTCACAACTCAACGAAATCAAGTGAAACAAGAACGAAAGTTGTAGTTATCGAAGAGATGAAGAGAATGGTACCTCGCACGACGTCTAACTCGCCGTGGTTTGGCCGGAAAACGCCTCGAAAGCTGTCGGACTCGCCGGAAACTGGGTAAGATTCAAATGAGTATAACTTCTTCAATACTCAACGAAATTGGGTGAAACAAAAATGAAAGTTGTAGTACTCAGGGAGATGAAGAGATTGATACCTTAAATGCCGGCCAACTCACCGCGGTTTGGCAGGAAATGGCCTCGAAAGGGACAGTGCTCGCCGGAGGCTCCTGGGATTTCGTCGTCCTTTCTACAACGAGAGAGAAAATTGCAGAGGTTTTGATGGTGACGTCCTCAGCAGATGGTGTGGTTGAGTGTTGCTTAGGGAAAAGGAGTTGCAGGATTTCGTCGTCCTTTCTACAACGAGAGAGAGAAAACCTGCAGAGGTTTTGATGGTGATGTCCTCAGCAGATGGCGTGGCTGAGTGTTGCTCGGGGAAAAGGAGTTGCAGCGAGGGAGAGAGATGAGGTTCGAGAGAGAGACACGGGAGAGTTGGAGAAGAGAAGAGAGAGAGAGACCAGGGGAAAACAAAAAAAATCATAAGGTGGGCCCCACGTGGCTCACCATTTAAGAACTAAAACTATTTTTAAAATATAAAAGGGGGTTGGGGTGTTTCATCACATAAATGACTATTTTTAATTCTGGCTCACAAAATAGGATCTATATCAATTTTCCCCTAAAAAAAATTATTTAACTCAAAATTCACCAAAAAAATAATCTATAAATACCTATGTATTTGTTCCAATATCCATATAAAACTCAATTTTCTCCTACAATTCTTCCAATTTATCTTTCTACCATTTCTTTCCATTTCCAAATTGTTCAACATGGCAAGAGAGCATATTAGAGGTTGTAATTGGACCTATGAGGAAGTTGAAGGCTTGCTTTGTGGAAAGATTTAGTGATTTTTGAACATTTATTAGAATTTAAATATTTTTAGATCAAAATGTTCATATAATTAATTTACGATAGTCTACATAATTTTTTGGGTAAAGTACAAAAAACTACCTCAACTATTGGTATCACGACACTTTCATACCTCATCTTTAGAATTTAGTCCAATGTTATACCTTCCGTTACTTGGCCGTTTACTTTTCAGTTAAATGCTGACGTTACTTGATCCGGAACCCACTTTTTATTAAAAAATTAATAAAATATTATTAAAAACTAAAAAAATCATTTAATAATTTTTAAATATTAAAATAATAAAGAAAAGTTTAAAAAAAAATTAAAAATCTTCTGTTCGTGCCCTTTCCCCTACCATTTTCTCTCTCTTCTCCCCCATCTTCATCTTCTTCCCCCTTCCAGCTCCCTTCCTGCAACCCAGAAAAAAAAAAGTTAAAAAAAAAAAATCCCAAGTTCGTCCCCTTCCCCAGTTCCCCCCTCTTTCTTCTCCCCCATCTTTATCTTCTTCCCTCTTCCTGTGACCCAGAAAAAAGAAGGTAAAAAAAATAAAAATAAAACAAATTTGTCTTCCCCCTCACCCACCCTCAGTTTGTTCCCCCCCCCCCCCCGGAAGAAGAAGAAAGAGAGAGAGGGGAAAAAAACAAAAAAAAAAGGAAACCCAGTTGAAGGGTTTGTCCGTCCTTCCCCCCCTCCCCCCTTTCGTCCCTTCCCCCTTCATCTTCTTCCCCTACCTGCTTAATCTTCAACAAAAAAAAAATAAAAACCCATCAACCCCGAAACCCCATTCCTGAAACCCCCCCCCCACCCAGATCCCTCCACACCTGCAACCCAAATCCACCACCCCTCCAATCTGCAAAAGAAGAAGAAGAAGAAGGAAAGAAAAAATAAATAAAAATGCCAGTTCGTCTGTCCATCCCCCTCACCCTACCCAACTTGCAGAAGAAGAAGAAGAAGAAGAAGAAGAGAGAAGAAGGAAAAAAAAAAAAAAAAGGAAACCCAAAACCTAGTTCGTTCGTTCCTCCCCCCACCCCCACCCCCATCGCACCCAACTTGCAGAAGAAGAAGAAGAAGAAGAGAGAGAAGAAGAAAAAAATAAAGGAAACCCAAAACCCAGTTTGTCTGCCCCCCAACCCAAAACCCAGTTCGTCCGCCCCCCCCCCCCAACCCACCCAACTTGCAGAAGAAGAAGAGAGAAAAGAAAAGAAAAAAAATAGGTAGGGGAAGAAGATGGGTTTTCAAATTTGGGCCGGGGGGGTTTGACGGGATCTGGGGGGTGTGATGGGATTTGGGCGGGGGGGGTTCAGGTATGGGGTTTCGAGGGGGTTGATGGGTTTTCAAATTTTATTTTATTTTTTTTTTTTTGTTCAAGATTAAGCAGGTAGGGGAAGAAGATGAATGGGGAGAAGAGAGAGAGGGGGGAATGGACGAAAGGGTTTTTTTTTATAATTTTTTTTTACTTTTTTTATTATTTTAATATTTAAAAAATATTAAATTTTTTTTTTAGTTTTTAATAATATTTTATTATTTTTTTTAATAAAAAGTGGGTTTCGGATCAAACCATGTCAGCATTTAACTAAGAAATTCACGCCAAGCTAACGGAATGTATAACATTGACACAAATTCGTAAGATGAGGTATGACATTGTCAATTTTAAAAGATGAGGTATGAAAGTGTCGTGACACCAATAGTTGAGGTAGTTTTTTGTACTTTACCCTAATTTTTTTTTTAAATTTAATTTAAAAAAAAAATTAGCCTAAGTTCATTATTTAATAATCTCGGGCTAAAATTTTAGGCCAGAAGGGTATGAGCAGAAAAACTTAAACAAAAATGCTCCCAAAACAAAAAAATTCAAAAACAACCCAAAATAATGCTGGGGTACTTTCATGATTTTAATAGTATTTTTTTAAATAATAATTCTTTTTGTACAATTTTTTTTTAAATTAATATCTCACAATAGGTTAGCAATAATATAATTCAATCAGTTGTTCATTAAATATTATTTTCTCTATTTTTAAACACTTTCAAAACATCTTAAAAGGTGTGTAATACCGGTTAAAAAAAAAGTCTTTCACACGCACATAATAATGTGATTAAATTAGTTGTTAAATGATTTTTTTTAACAAACAATATTATATATACTAAGGGGGAGGAGATGGGCTTAGCCTCACAATGAACTAGCAATAATGTGATTTAATCAGTTGTTTATCAAATATTATTTTCTCTATTCTTAATGTAAATTCAATAGAATGTAGATGGAAATTGAAATGCCGAATTTATTATGTGAATTTAACTGCTTTGATTGGTTTGTGAGGGATTTTTTCTAGCATGATCTAAGATTATTCATTTAATTCAAATATTTGATTTTCCTTTTGTCAATTCACGCATATTATTACGTTTACAATTTGTCAATTCACGCATATAAATATGTTTACAATGTGAAGAAGGCAGTTATAATAGCCTTCACGGGAAGACACAACACAAAACATTAAGATTTTCAAGAGTTCTAAGTAGATCAACCAATATAATACGACAATACGAGTCACCCACGAGTAAGCCAAATGGAAGAAAATAAACTACTCGTGCAGGATATTCCATGAAACGGTGTGATATCCACACACCCTTTTTTACTTCTCCCACACCTTTTTGGTTTTCGACCGTTGGATCGGATAAATTGAATAAGATCAACGGACAGAAATTAACAAGGGGTGTGTGAGAAGTAAAAAGGGGTGTGTGGATAGCACATCCCTTCCATGAAATCAAAGTATCATTTAACTAAGTATGGCCATGCGCAACACTATAATATACAGAAATCATGCTTTTTTAAGTGACCCGAATATATGTATGAGGCGTCTTTGAGATGGCAGCTTATTAACTTGCTATGGCTCAACCGCTAGTGTCCAAAGTTCACTACCAAAGACCATGTGGACAGATTTAAGCGCCATCTAAAAAGAATATAACTTAGACAACTGCTGACCTGCACCAAAAGCTAAATTAGCAAGAAAGTAAATTCCAGCTGCAGATACAAACATCACGATACATCACATAAACCTAAGATGAAGCTAAACTCAATAAAAAGACATGCCCACTGACTTGCCAGAAACCAGCCAGTTTAGTTTTAGGAGAATTCACACTTTTAATCCAGTCCTTAACTATGTATTTTTAAGAATCCTGAGAAAATGCATATCATAGACGATTAAAGTTGGATTGACAATCACAAACGATAAACTTACATGAAGGGCAGTTTTCCATGGATAGATAGTTCTTGTTATGATCCTGCAAAGGAGATGCGAAACAGTTCAAAAAACCGCTAATATCAATCCAACTACATCCAGTCTCCTTCCTCAAACCCTTTTCCCTCATTTGTTTCCTCACAGTATCCACGTTTTCCCACTTGCCTTCCTCGGCATACATATTTGAGAGCAAAACATGGTAGCCCGTTTTGCCATTTGCTGCCTCTAGTTCAAGCAATTTCCCAGCAACAATCTTTCCCAATTCAAAATGTTTATGAATTCTGCACGCCCCAAGAAGTGAGCCCCAAATTTCCATCGCATCACCCTCTTCGCCCAACCCTTTGACAAACTCGTAGGCTTCAACCACTCTCCCAACCCTCCCTAACATGTCAGCTATATAGCAATAGTGTGCCGTTAGTGGTTTAATATTGTATTCCCCTTTCATTGAATCGTATATCGAAAGACCTTCGTTAACCAAACCAGCATAACTGCAGGCAGACAAGACCGCAACAAAGATTATGGCATCAGGTGCAGTGCCAGATTTCTGCATTGAGTGAAACAAAGAGAGAGCTCTCTCACCCATTCCATTCTGACCGTAGCCCAGCATCATTGTGGTATATGTGACAGTGTTCTTCTCATGGGATCCAGCGAAAACATTTTCAGCATAAGTGACTGCACCACATTTGGAATACATGTCAATTAGAGCAGATCCCACGAAGACGTTTTGGTCAAGGTAGTGGCGGATAGAGAACCCATGGATTTGCTTAACCATATCTATGTTTCCCACAGGATTACAAGCTGGTAGAACTGATGCTAAGGTCACATCATTTGGTATTATTGCTCAAGCATCTGCCTAAAGACAAAGAAAGCTTCTTCAGAAATCATAGTATTCCATGAAACAACATCCCTCTCAGGCATCTTATGAAAAATTTTGAATGACATGTCAACAGAATTGCACCTTGAATACATTACGATAGTCGCATTGAGTAAAATAACGGGCATCAATCTCAAATGCTTGATGATAAAAGCATGCAGCTGTCCAGCTAATTCCAACTGTTGCATCTGTGAACATGCAGTTAAAACTGATAGGAAGGTCACCTCAGCAAGAATAGCCAGTTCTGAGTTTACAGCTTGAAAGAAGAGGTCGATCGCTTCAATAGGACTGTTATTTTGAACATATGCACCGATCGTAGTGTTCCAAATCTCTGTATTTCTCTCCGAACAATGGTCAAAAGTCTTCCTAGCATATTCAAGGCAACCAAACTCGGCATACATAAATATTGCCGAGCTCACAACAAACAAGTCAGTCACATATTCCCCACCCAACCTAAGAAGCTTACCGTATAAAACACTCGCGTTCTTATAGTCTCCCATAGCGGAAAGTGCAGGGAAAACATTGACAAAACTGACAGCACTCGGTCTTATTCTCATTCCCATCATCATCCTAAACTGCTTCACTGCTTCTGCATATCTTTCCGTCTTAACATACCACGAAACCAGCGTATTCCAAGCAACCACATTCCTCTTGCGCATTGTATCAAACACTCTACGCACTAAATCATACTGTGAATAATCAAAGTCATAATAACAAGCAGAGTACATATTCAAAAGCAAATTACACACAATCCTACTGGGTTCGGATGACACCGAAGAACATGGCAATGCAGGGCTTACCCATCTTGAAATTGCGCGTGTCGGTGCAGGCTTTGAGGGTAGAAGAGTAAGTGTAAGGGTCGGCCTTGGTGCCGGGAGAGGCAGATTTCATCTGGGAGTAGAACAAGAGGGCTTCATTGGCCATGTTGTTGCAGATGAATCCAATGATGATGGTGTTCCAGAGCACGGTGGAGGGGCGAGGCAAAGTATCGAACAGTTGGCGGGCAAGGTGAGGAGGAGGGATTCCTCCTGAAAATGTTTTGCGGACGATTCATAAAATTTCGTGCTAATGATCGAAACCATTAATGATATAAATCATTATGGAAAGATCATCTTTATAAAAAAAAATTAAAGTAATGGTTATTAAGTCAAATAACTGCAACAAATAGATAAAACAGCTCATAATACTATTAACAATTCTTACTATATATTTTTACACATTTTGATGACATAACGATTTCAAGTGGTGATCTTTACGCAACGACATATAATATGAACAATTCTAACGATAAACACAAAATTTTGAGAGTCCGTTACAACACATTTTTAGGAAGATATCCTTCTCATCGTTTCAGTTGTAAAGTATTATTCTAAGCATGTATATCAATTGCATGGCTTGTGGGATGGGGGTGGTGTTTTAATTCTTGGATTTTTTTTCATGTGGAGGTGATGATGTCATGCCTTTGCTGTCATTTGCTAATTTTTTTTCATGTGGTCTATTAATACGTTAGTGGTTGGCAATGCTCACAGCATGTAATGAAGAGTTGGTCATCTGGAGCTTTCATTATTATTAGTAAAAAAACCTCTATATTGAAAATGATGTCAAAATCAGTTTTTAGGCATGCATTAGGTGCACATACCAGCTGAATTGATCAGTACAAGTTAGATTTTCAAAGAAGAGAAAATGTCACCACAAGACTTTAAGATTCGATACGTTGAACTATGTATTAACGGAAAACTTACAATACAAACGTTGCAAATTACATGACGTAAAAATAAACGAGGAGAATATAAAAGCCCCCCCCAACCCAATTAAATTTGATCAATAAAACGCCCTAATGAAGAGTACGAAGAACCACCATCCACCAAGGCTTTCTTGCTCTTTTCACTCATCTCCTTCACTCTTTTCCTTACATCACTGTCAAGCTCCATCACTTGCCTTATCCCTCTTTCTATGTCTTCTGCACTCACCACCACGTCGCTGTCCTTCCTATAATCCATCTTAATCTCCACTGCCAATCCCAACTCCACAACCAACTGAAAGGCATTCAGGTTTTGCTCCGCGTACATTGGCCATGCGGCAATCGGCACGCCATTCCATAAACTTTCCAACGTAGAATTCCACCCGCAATGTGATACAAACCCTCCGGTTGCCGGATGGCCTAGGATTGCCGCTTGCGGGGCCCAACCAATCACCTTCCCAACCGTAGCCGTCCGATCAAGAAACCCTTCGGGCAAGACTGCCTTTAGATCCTCGTAGTCTCTTGGCATAGCTCTCTGGCCATTAGGTGGGGGCCGGCGTAGGGACCACAAAAACCGATGTCCGCTGTGCTCTAGCGCGCACGCTATCTCTTTCACCTGGGCCTCACCGAAACTTCCCATGCTTCCAAAACACAGGAACACCACCGAGAAAGGAGGCTGATCATCAAGCCACCTCAAGATATCCGAGCCCTTATCTTCATCACTACTTTTGAGATTCAATAAGGGTCCCACTGGATACACGGGTGGGATTTTATCACCAGAATCAAGATAATGAAGAGCATGCGATTCTAGCTCCATGAACGTATTTACCAAAATACCCTTGGTTTGTTTCAACATGCTGGCGGAGTTGAGGATTGATTTGGTGCCCTCCTTGTCCAGAAACGAACCAGGCAAGACGGCGGCAGGGTAAGGGTTGATGAAACTCGGGACGGCCAACTCAGCGGTTGAGCTCGTCAACTCAGTTATATCTATTCCCCCCTCGTCACGAAGCGATTGAAAATGGAAAAAAAGTGCGAGAGTCGAAGCGTTGGAGGTGAAGAACAGGTAGGAGGGAACCTTAAATTCGTTGGCCACGTTCATTAGGCTTACGCAAAATATGTCGAGCACGAACCCGGCAAGCCGAGGCTTCGACGTCGACTCAGACTGATCTGACTCTGGGAGTAAGTTGATAACGGCGTCTCTGACGTGAGATTTGTGATTTTCGACGAGCATTCTGAAGAAGGACCCGGGATTGGGGACAGTGTCTTGTTTGTCCGGTTGGGCTTCGGGGAGGTTGACGAAGTTGATGCGGTGAGAGATTGAAGAATCAGTGTTGGTGAATGGTTGGGCGTGGGGAAGCTTCATGACGAGGACTGTGATAAACAGTTCGTCGTCCCGAGCAACGAGTTGCTTTGCCATCTCGACCGTTGATACGATGTGGCCAATGATTGGGGCGGGAACGAACACTAGTTGTGCTGGTCTCTTCATCTTTTGAGAAATGGCAATGAAAAGCTGAGCTGTTTTATTTAGAAAAACTCTTTCATTTTATAGTAGAATGGTATGATGTCATGCCTTCGCTCATAGTTTCTGGATTCCCTACACGTCAAGATCTTAATTAATTTTCATACTGGAAAGACTTGGACATCAATAGCAAGAAGATAAAACAAAAGGTTGTCAAATTTTATTTTGGTTCCTCCACTAGCCGTAGTCTATGGATAAGTACCACCAATTAAGTTTCACTTTTTATTTTGGTACTTACGTTTCATATTGCCTTGAGTAGAATGTTGAAGAATTGAAAACCGACATGGTTCACACGCGGTCAAGATTTCAGTTACCATTACTAAGCACACCATGTTCTATACAGTGGTTATCTTTTCTTCTTCTTTTCTCAAAAGCAACGAAATATTCATCGTCGAATTAGAATCTTGTTCACAATTAGAATGCTGGGGTTGGGGTTTGTTCACAATTGGAGCAATAGTATAGGTCCCGGAATGGAGATACCCTTACCTTTATCATTCTTCTTTTGACCCTCATTCTTGTCCTCATCATCCTCACTGTCAGGAAGATTATCAGAGTCCTCCATCCTAACCAAAATCTCGAAATACTCATGATAATCAGCGCAGGGAAGTGCATTGGCAAAGGTACGCCACTTCTTCTTAGATCCCAACTTGAAACGTCGAAGCATCTCTCCCTGATTACCAGCTATATCAGGGTCATAACGAGACAAATCAGTAAACCTTCTATAATATTCATGTGCCGACATATTTCTCTGTTTCAACCTGGTGAATTCCTGTTTCTTACGATCAATATACTCAGGAGGGACGAATCTCTTCATAAAATTCTCTTTGAACACTTTCCAGTCGGCTGCCGTCTCAGGTGACATGTACCTAGTCTGATTCATCCACCATGCTGCTGGTTCATGACCCAAAAACCAAGTGGTGGTCTCCACCCACCTATTAGCAGGGAGATTCCCCTGACTCTGCATCACCTGGAAGGTCTTCTCAATATGATCTAGCCGTTTCTCTGCCCCCTCATGACTTTCATTACCCATAAACCGATCTAACTTCAAGTTGTACATGGTCTCCAGAGGTGTCCTCGGAGGAGGGGGAGGACGAATCACATTTTGTAAAGCCTGGGCCATCGCTTCCCCTAGCTGAGTAATATCCGGGAAATTAGGTTCAGAAGTACGGCGGGACTCCCTACGCTCCCTACGAGGCGGCATGATTCTGACAGAAAACATCAAAAGATCGTTAAGACATTAACAAATTTACAGGACTGCAACCTAAGCTCTGATACCAAACTGACACACCCCGATCCGGAGGATCCAGGTGTGCTGGCCGTCACGTGGGCGTGACGTAACCATCGGCGCGACACGGAAGCAAAATAACAATATAACTCAGCAGAAATTCAAACCAAACTCAAACATAACCACCTACGAACATAACCGGACGAGTTATCAGGTAAACACATAAGTTCAGAGCATAGGTTAACTGCAGTCAAGTAGGTCTAAAATAAAATACATCACCCTCAGGTGAGTCCTACATGTCGAAGGTCTGTCAGAAAGCCGGAAAAGACCTCGAGAGCCACCAACCGCTAATTTAGAACCTGGAGGGGCGCAAAACAAAATGAGTGGGTCAGTAAAACCAAAGATTTTCCAAAACATTTCAATTAAAACATTTCTAACCCCTCACCGTAAAACCTGTATACATTCTCCAGAAAAAGTAGATATATATAAAACCATATGAAGTCTCAAAACTTAAATCCCAAATCTTTAACATTTTTCAAGGAAACATGCCATGCAATAAATCAAAATATAAATCAGGTGAAATAAGGAATCAATCGGAGACCCTGCAGTTGGTCCTATACGATTAATTCAACAGCTCAATATCCCACTAAGCCGGAGCCACCACAGTGACCTGTACGGCCCTACTCTGCACATCACTCGGAACTACGTGAGGTAGTCTATACGATGAAAGGTGTAAAAATACGCTCTAGTGCTTCTCTCATCATATCATCAGCGCGCATATCTAAGGTCACCCACCAGTCAGAACCCCTCTAATGGTCTGTGCGACTGGCATGTCGGAACCCTCACATGGTCTGTACGACATCCACCTACTTGGATCCAAGGCGAGCGTGCGGTGTGGTGAATAAAATAAGCACTAACACCTAGGGTGCAGGTTATGAGCTTGAAACATCTTATCAACAATCAATTAAATGAATAATGAACTCACCTGACTTACCTGTGCCTCCACAGCACCATGCAACATGTATGCATCATATATCAATCATATAACTCATATGAAATTCACATTTTCCAAATAATTCTATGCATGGCATTTTCAAAACATAATTTCGTATAAATTCATCTTCTGGGAAAAATTAATAGTATAACGGTAATACGAAAACAAAACTGCCCACTCACTGATAAGTCGACGGGTCGTAACCCCCGTGGCGTCCCTGGATGCGGTCGTCCTCGGGATACGTCTCACCTATATGCGAAATAAATATAAAACGTTAATTTTAAACACATCACCAATATTTCGAAATAATTTCTCATACGATGCTCAATTTGGGTATATGAATATACCACATCGACCTACTCGACGTCACGAGCGTCGAGAAATTTTTAGAAACTGATTTGGACTCCCCACGCGCCCTCACGCGCCGGCTAGAGCTCGGCTCTACGCGCAGGCCACGCGCAGCCACGCGCAGCACGTGTCATCGTCTTCCCCAGGGTTCGCCGGACTGGTTTTTCCGGCGACCCAATTCCGGCCAAACTTTAAACCTCTTGTTCTCCTTCGTTTTTCACCCATTTTCTTCGTATTTTATACCAAATTGAAGCCCTAAGAGTGTACTATCACGTTGGACTAGTTTTAGGGTCTAAAAATCAAGAAATCTCACCGAGCAAAATCCAAGAATTCGGCCAACTTTGAAACCCACGATCCCGACGTCCAAATCCTTCAAACGAACGTCCCCGAGCTTCCTTAGGACCTCACTAAGCTTGCTATAAGCTTGAATTCCCCTGAAACACAACATTTTACGTTCGCATGAACAGTACCCAAAAATGGAGGTTTCGGATTCCACGTGAAATCGAAGGTCTCACTTCCTAAAACTAGCACCAATGAACTCAGGACGTCAAAAGGATGAAGATACATACCTTATTTGCCTCGATCCGTCAAGTTTTGAAGGGTTTTGGTGGTGGTCCGTACGTGGAGGGTGAGGGAAAGAGAGAGATCGTGAGGGAGAGAGACAGAGAGTGCTACGGGAGGGAGAGAAGACAGGGAGTGCGTGTGTGTGTGTGATTGTGTG